AATGAGAAATTGAGAACTAATAATATTTATTATGTCCAATTAAAATAGCGAAGTTGAGGAAGAAGAATATCAGAATAATGAAGAAAATCTAGCGGATAATTCGTTTGAAGAGAACGAAGAGGCGAATGTCAATGAACAAGTAATTAAAGTTTATGAATATATTATACTATTGAATTATACGCAGGACTATACCTGAGTTTTTCAAGCTGATCAGTCATGGATTGGCCTGGCCTCTGAAATGTGATGTTCTATAAAAATAGTTGTTAGTAGATCCAACATACAAATGTATCATGTACTTATTAAATATTAATCGAAATTTTCTCGTGTGCGGTATATAATATCTCACTCCACCAGTATCTCGAGTTCGTCGTGCGAGCTTGCTAGGGTATATGCGGCCACCTTCAAAGTAGAAACAAATGGTTTACTATTCGTTTTATTATGCTCATAGCCAATGAATAACGTAACCGTTATACTTGCTTAGTTTATCTTTCATGTGCTCGTAGCATAACTTTTCATTTCACATCTCTAGTGGAAAAGCACCCTTAGGCTTACGCTACTACTTTAGCTTCTTTGATCATTTGTAAGAAGTTTTTCTTGTAAAAGCGAACAATATTACTATAATTTCATATATATAACTATTATTGAGTACAATTTAAACAATATTTGTTCATCCAGGAGTCCCGAGACGCTGAATTAGGCGAAGATGAAGAACCAGCAAGAGATGATGCAAAAGCAACGGGTCCGCAACTTAATAAGGAGAAGTATATGTCTCATGTTCTAGCTGATGAACGAGCGGAGAAACCCGTCAACGATAACGTTAGTACGAATTATAGAACACACAATACGAATTAAGAGTTATATCAATTTTATTGACTTAACATAATAACAAGAATTATACAGCATGACATGACCAAAGTAATGTAGTAATAATGAACTAATTTATTATCTGTTAACTTTCACTATATTTTTTGTCTAGCTAATGGAGTACTCCCGAAAAACCAAAGAGGAGAAAGTAGATGAAGAAGCATCGCCAAATATTGAGCCTTTGTTACAGAAATGGAAACAATCTAACAAGTATACTGAAAGTGATTACACGAGCAATGTGCCGGAAAGTACACCAAATATTATTATCACGGAAAATCATGATGAGGAGTCCCTACAAGATGAAGCTCCTAATAATGAATTAGATGAGCGCACTGTGGATTCCCGTAAAATACCATTAGATGATAGTGATTCACTGTATGATGATCAAAAAACACAAAGGAGAAATGTAGGCATTGAGTTCCGTAAAGTCAATATTGATTCTAATGAACCTAGACATTCCCGACAATATTCAAATTCCATCAAATCCGATTATAAAGTAATGTCTGATGATAAAAATTATGACAGTGCAAAATTTATCATAAGCCGTGATAGACGTCAAGCAGAAGTAAGTGATACTGTAGGTTTATCTACTTCTACAGAAAAAGAATCGCTTCTTTCCGATACTGTTAATGAAGATGATGAAGCTGCAATCAAAAGACACATTAAGAAATTATCAGAGGAAGAATTGGAAGAATTGCTAAACTCTTTGTCAGATGAGAAAAGGGCACTGCTTAATAAAATAATGGACAATAATCAAAACTACGACACGTTAAATAAAAGAGAAATAACTAAAAAGGCGGGTGCTTTGGAAGAAAACAATTATATAGAAAGTGGTTTGTCGGAAGTAAGTAAGTTACAAAGTGTTAGTTCTTCGGTAGATATGAACACTGAGTCTGCTGGTATTCAAAGCTCTGAAACAAAAAATACTAAAGAAGTGCAAACGGAAAGTAATGATATTTCAAGCACAAATGCTCCTGAAACTACTAGGGGAGAAGACTCTGAAAATAAAGCCAAATTGACGGATGAAATAATAAACATCGATAGTAACTTGAATTCCAATGAAGACTCTAGTAGTATAATATCAACTGATTCACAATCTGTAAAATCAGAAAGCAAAAGACAAGCTAGTTATAGTTACCAAGATGAGTCACTTGACGACATACAATTATCAGATAATTATCTTAACGTGGAGGACTCCGGTGAACCTTTTAATGAACAAGACCGTTCTTATGTTTCTCAAGAGAACGACTTATCACAATTAATAGACAATGAACCAGAAATACATCGTGATCGGGAATTCAAGCGTGAAATTCTTTTAGACGATCGAACAGCGAAGTTAGATGATTCTTTTAGATCTCTCGAAGAATCATTCCCAAAAAGTAATTGTGAAGAGTCTGGTCAATATATTGAATCAAACATGGCACCTCTTATAAGAGTAAAGAGGACAGATGAAAATCATGAAATTCCCAAGAGAGCAGCATTATTACCTGATGACAAAGTTGCTTACATACCAAACAAGGCTGAAAACGAGGACGAAGACAATAATGAAGGAAATGAATTTAACGATGATGGTTTTTACGATCGAAATGCTAATTACGCAAAAAGTAATATGAATCGAATCGATGCTAATCCAGCGCTAATTAACTTTGCAGTTGATCCTCATCAAGAGAAAATAAAATTTGTAAGAGCTCCAGATAAAATGAACAGCGAAACAATGAGTCTAGGATCAGACACTGATAGTGTTTTGTCTGGCATAGAAGGTGTCGATGATAATCTTATGTATAGTGCTGGAACTCGGAATAAACGTAATCCAGAAGAAAACTTGGAATCATTAACAGAAAAAGAGAACTCTACCCACATTCGTGACGATTTTGTAAAAACTTCTGAGAACTATATCAATATACCACATTATCATGAAAACGATGCATTTGGCGCTCTCCCACACAGCTATGAAGGTGATCTAGGACGATTCAAAAGAATTAGACGCGTTAAACCATCATTGGAAGTTATTTCTGATTGTTAAACATTTAGTACTACTGAGTTTGATAACTTTAAGCATTTCGAATAATGTAGTTTGCACTTTGTAATTAAATATTAATATACATTGTTTTAGATTCGTTTATAAGTTTCAATATAATTCAAATTTAATCTGTTAGAAATACATTAATTTGTAATATTTCGTTTTTGTTTTAATTATCTTGGATTTGGTTTATCTTAAATATATTTAACACAAAATACAAAAAACTTATGATTTAGTGGTAACTGTCAGAAATCACAATATAACAAATCGTAGGAGATAGTAGGCGGTTTTTCCCTGTGGCTAAATTAATAGATATGCTAAATACGACAATGTCTATGATATTTTTTGTATTTAAGTAGTTATCGACAATTTGTATAATAAATCCGTGGTTCTTTTTGTTGCAACTTATATTAATTTTGACGTCTAGATGGCGTTATGGCGAATTATATCGCGATAATAAAATATTTCTGTCATTTTATATAGGTATGTGAAATTGGTTAGAAATAAATTTTCTGCGAGTATGAATTTTATTCATCTCCCCACGATTCCTGGGAATTTGTACTGTAATTGTACACCCTTTCTGTTTGACATTTAAAAGATATTCCCTTCTTCTTCTTTTTTTAATTAATGGCTTATCTGCGCATTTCGCACAATTCTGCCAATGTCAAGTAAATAAATTAATTTTTACATGTAAAATGAAAATGAAATTAATGAAAGATGGCGATGATTCTTTTAGGTTCTATAAAAATTCAAAGATATTCCCAAACTTAACGCTACAACTATAAGACATGTGATAGCAATTGGGATCGTGATGTTTTTGATAGATATTAAATCACGATGTCGTCAATTTGGAATTAATTGAATGTGTACATGACCTACAGAATTAAAGCAATTTCAACTTGTAAAATAATATTTTATTTTTAATTCGAAAAATTGGCCTATTCAATTATAACGAGCTTGTATTTATCTTGCTTTATTAGTATGTTAGTGCGCAAATCTTAAAATTCAAATAAGACACTTCCTAATGTCCGATAGATTTGAAATTTGGCATAAACAAGTCAAATGACAAGGCAATATTATGGTGTCAGTTGATATGATGATGAAATGACGCAAATGCATCGTGTTTGGGATCATTAGATCTGTCTTTATGGTACTGGCTGCTTTCCAGACCATGGTCTGGTGATGATGGGTCTGGATGGTAATCATAGGAACTTATCAATGGAATAACGCAACTGCATCGTGTTTGGGCTCTTTAGATACGTCTTTATGAGTTTTTTTTATTTAAAAACAAGCTTTTCAAGTCAGTTACTGTTAAAGAAATTTTTTATTATAAATACTTTAAATATATTATCGTTAGCATTTATGTATTTACGTTACACAAATTTCTAATGTAAATATTGTTTGTTTATAAAAAGTATTATGAGAGAAATTCTTAATAGTGACATATTTTCTTTTAAATGCATTTGAATTGTAGTTTTACATCAAGAGGTTAGTAATACTACCTCTATATTTAAAATTATTGGTTCTACATATTGCGAGTAGATTATCAGGTGCTCTCAAAAAGTAAAGTATATATGGGTACTCTATAGAATCATTTACTTTTGTGTAGGAATTTTTAAATACCATAAAAAAATTATTATCGACATACATTATTTAGAGGCTCTAGCCTTTCTACTCTAAAAATACAGCACTGTGGTAGCTTTATAGATTCAATCGAATAAAGCTTTAACCAACTTTTATAGTAGGTTTTGTTTAATTTTTATTTAACGGCTTTGCACCGCTTTCAAGGCTGCGTTCATCGCTGGATTTTTAAGTGAATAACATTCTGCAATTCTATACAATGCCTAGGATTATACCATTTGGACGAGACTTGTAGCCGAGACAAACTACCAAGCCCTTCCAGTTTTATTTCATTGGACTGGTTCGAGAATTTTCTCCATTTACACGGGGTTAGTACTGGCTTGGCTTACTGGATTGTCTCAGCTGCTAGCCTCGTGTAAAATAGTCCATTAGATAGGTTATCGGCGATGTCTGTAACACTTAAATAGGTACAGGCCGGTTAATAAAAACTACAATAAAATTTATATAAAATTTATTACATGGCAAAGTTTGACAAAGAAAAATTATAATAAAATAAAAAATTGTTAAAATAACAATAAAAATATGCATTTTATAATAGCAGGCATGTTAATCGTATTAAGACTAGGATTATTAGCTCGCCCTCATGGTAATACGTATATGACAAAAAAAGATTAACTTTAGCAAGCTGTACTATATAATTATTCAGAATAAAATTATCAGTAATGGGCATTTTCATTTTTGAGTAACTTTCGTGGCATAAAATTTATGTTCGCGAGTATCGCGCGTATGTTTGTACGGCGTACGCGGTGTCTCTATCAAAGTAGCTGGACATACACCGTGCACATGTGATGTAAACTCGCGTTTATAGCTTGTGCTGCCGTCGCCTAGTACGAACTGAGATGTTGAGCCATGTTGTCGAGTTACCCGCTCTACTTTTTCCACACGTTCGGAACGCTCTGCTCGCTGTCCATGTTCAGATTTAGAAAAGCTTCCATAAGAACGTGCCTCCGACTGGCCATAAAAGTCCCCGCCTACTTGCAGATTATCTCTTATTGTTACTCTTGGCTGACGTTCAACGACCAACGTGGACTGTCCATCTCTCTTAACACTTCGTCGCGAATCCGTAGTATCAGAATATTGTGAAATTACTGCCATATTGTCTCGAGCAGAACGGTGCATAGAACTAATACTCTTTCTATCTGAACTGTGAGTAGAATTACTAATGTATTCACCTCGTTCTGCAAGATTACCAATACTCTTCCTTTGAGCAGCTGCGGTTGAACTGATTGTGTGATGTGCTTCTGTTGCCGATGATACTCCCTTACGATGAAGAACGGCGTTAGCGGAATTAGCATCGCACACAAGATCAGATGTACGTTTATGATATCCACTTCGAGTTGAATTGTCAATGGTATTTGTTTCACCACCACCATGCATAGCTCTCTGAAACTCGATGCTAGTTTTTGTTACACTATCGCCTATCTGATTTCTGTTCACACTGTGAGACTGAGTGTGCGATGACACAGAAGTATTTGTATCCACTTGATGTCCTCCAGAAACATGTGTAATAGTTGAACTTCTTTGGTTATTGGTGCCACCAGAGCTCAAGTGTTGTGAATGTATGCCTTGAGTTGTAGAATCTGAAGTGCGTTGGGTGCTATTGTCTATAATTCTTGATGCAGAAGTGGAATGACGAGTTGATTGAGTGATATTTTGTTCAGATTGACTACCTCGAGTTACTTGTGATGATGCGCTAGTAGTACGAGTGACTTGGCTATCTGAAGGATAATTTCTAGAAACTACTTTTTGGTTTCCAATGTCTTGGCCTTTAACTCGATTATCCGTTGTAGTCGATTCGATCACTCTTTTTTGAATTTGACCTTCCTTTGACATATTTGACGAACTTTTTTGTACGTAACTTTCAGATGTAACTTGGCGCTGATGATGGTTGGATGACGAATCTTGAATTATCATTGATGATGTTGACTGATTTTCAGTATTAAGTATCCTCTGACTACTTCCTTCGCACCTAGGAAAACCTGGCCTAGAAGTGGTTTCCACAATATTTTTGGACTTCACTGTATCAGAACTTCCACTATCGCCACCAGAAGTAACATGAGATTCGATATTACGTGTCACATTAACCCATTTACCAGCTATCAACTTCTTTTCTGTTACCTGTTTTATTACTTTAGTAGTGGACGTCGATATGTGTTTAGTAGATATATCTTTAATATTTCTAGAATCAGTTTTATGAATAGTGTTTTTATCAATAACGTTTTGTGATGTTACGCCATCTTTAGTATTTCGAGTTTTTACAACACTTGTTTGTGGAGTTTCACGTGGCATATTTTCTGAAGATCCAGAATGATCAGTATGGTCATAATGTGTATGTTTAACATAAGTCCCAGATTGCGAATGCTTTGACATTGAATGTTTTTCTGTACTATGAGTACTACTTTGTTTTATATGTTCTGTTTGAAAATCACGAGTTTCGTCATCACGTCTTAAAACAGAAGTATCTTTAGATTTTTTAGATATTTCATTTGATTGATTATCAACAGTATCTTGTTTCATTATATGGCCATTGGTGTAGATATTGTCTTTAGGTTTTATAGGGCTTGTCTTTTCGCCAGGGCCCCATTTCTGAGAAGTAGGACGCTCAAATTTCCCTTCGGGTTTTAAATTGTCTTTTGGCCGTACTTGCTTTGGCGTATCGCCAGGTTGCCATTGTGTCTTAGGTCTATCTTCAAATTCACCATCTGGATGTAAATTATCTTTTGGTTTGACTTGATCAGGTCTATTTCCTGGAGTCCACATAGACTTCGTTGGCCTATCGAAATCGCCTTCTGGTTTTAAATTGTCTTTGGGGCGAACTTGAGCAGGTGTCTCGCCAGGTTGCCAGTGTGTTTTGGGGCGTTTGTCGAATTGTCCTTCAGGCCGTAAATTATCTTTTGGCCTGACTTGAGAAGGTGTTTCACCTGGTTGCCATTGAGTTTCAGGTCGTTTATCAAAATCACCTTCAAGTTTTAAATTATCTTTGGGTCGTACTTGATTCGGTGTTTCCCCGGGCTGCCACTTTGTTTTAGGTCTCTTTTCAAAATCTCCTTCAGGTTTTAAGTTATCTTTTGGTCGTACTTGACTGGGTGTTTCACCGGGTTGCCATTGTGTTTTAGGACGCTTATCGAATTCTCCATCAGGTTTCAAATTATCCTCCGGACGAATTTGTTTGGGTCTTTCACCAGGTTTCCAATGTTCTTTAGGCTTCATTTCAAAATCTCCGTCAGGAAATAGATTATCGTGGGGTTTTGTAATATCTGGTTTTTCACCTTTCACCCACTTTGGTCTCGAAGGTCTTTCGAAAGTTCCTTCTGGCTTCAAGTTATCAGGCTGTTTAATTGGTGAACGTTTTTCTTCAGGAACTATTTCTTTAATTTCCGGTCGTTTTTCAAAGTCTCCTTCTGGTTTCAAATTGTCAGGGTGATAGATTATAGCTGATCTTTCACCTTTTGTGATTCTATAATCATCTCTGCGAGTATGATCCTCAAAGACCCCTTCAATTTTAAGATTATCCTCCCTACGAGTTAGCTTAACTCTTTGACCTTTAACTACACGGTAAGTATCTGAAGAGCGACTGTTCTCCATTGTCCCTTCCATTTTAAGATTATCTTCATGCTTGACAATAGCTGTTCTATCTCCTTTAACAACATTATAATCATTTTTCTGCTTCATATCTATAAACTCTCCTTCTATTTTTAAATTATCTTCTCTACGAATAATATCCACTCGTTCTATTTTATGTCTTTGGCTTAAGTCGATTTGTCTCTCAATGGTAATGTTGTCGACTTGTTTGAAAGGTTTCCTTTTTTCTGCTGGTTGTGACGGTACTATTTCAGGTGTGTAGAATTTTCCATCAGGTTTTAAATTATCTTGAGGCCTAACAACTGGCGCTCGTTCGCCTTTGGTTGCACTATAATCATTACGGGTTTTCAGATCAATAAATTCTCCTTCAGTTTTTAGATTATCTTCGTACTTCTGGACAACTACTTTCTCTGTTTTTTCAATGCGTTTATAATCATCACGTGAACGATGAATATCAATTTTTCCTTCCATTTTAAGATGGTCTTCATGTTTGACAATATCGACACGATCACCTCGTGTAGCAGTGTAATCAGTACGTCTTACTATATTCATATCACCTTCAGGTTTCAAATTATCTTCCGGTCGCTTCTGAACAGGTCTTTCTCCCTTGACAGGTTTAGGTGTTGCTGGCCTTTCAAATTCACCTTCAGGCTTGAGATTATCTTGAGGTTTCTTAGGTGTCTGCCTTTCAGCTGGCTTCCATTCTACGAGTTTTGGCTGTTCAAACTCTCCCTCAGGCTTTAAGTTATCCTTAGGCTTAGTTGGTTCACGTTTTTCAGCCGGCTTCCACTTATCATGTTTGGGCGTTTCAAACTCGCCCTCTGGTTTAAGATTATCTTGGGGTTTCTTAGGTGTTTGCCGTTCAGCCGGTCGCCATTTATCTTGTTTAGGTTTCTCGAACTCACCCTCGGGCTTAAGGTTATCCTGGGGTTTCTTAGGAGTTTGACGCTCAGCTGGCCTCCATTTCTCATGCTGAGGTTTCTCAAAGTTACCCTCTGGTCTAAGGTTATCCTTTGGTTTTCTCACTTCTGGTTTTTCAGCCGGCCTCCATTCATCATGCTTAGGCTTTTCGAATTCGCCCTCAGGTCTAAGGTTATCCTGGGGTTTTCTAGGTGTCTGACGTTCTGCAGGTTGCCATTCGTCATACTTGGGCTTCTCAAATTCACCCTCAGGCCTCAAATTATCTCTCGGTTTCCTCACTTCAGGTTTTTCAGCTGGTCGCCACTCATCGTGCTTAGGTTTCTCAAATTCGCCTTCAGGTCTAAGATTATCTTGAGGCTTTTTAGGGGTTTGACGCTCTGCTGGTCTCCATTCTTCATGTTTCGGTTGTTCAAATTCTCCCTCAGGTCTCAAGTTATCCTTAGGTTTAGTAGGCTCACGCTTTTCAGCTGGTCGCCATTTGTCATGTTTCGGTGTTTCGAAATCACCTTCTGGTTTGAGATTATCTTGAGGCTTTTTAGGAGTTTGACGCTCAGCTGGTTTCCAGTCGTCATGTTTAGGCTTTTCGAATTCACCTTCAGGTCTCAGATTATCCTTAGGTTTTCTGACTTCTGGTTTTTCCGCTGGCCTCCACTCATCTTGTTTAGGTTTCTCAAATTCACCTTCTGGTTTAAGATTATCTTGAGGTTTCTTAGGTTTTTGACGTTCAGCTGGATGCCATTCGTCGTGTTTAGGCTTTTCAAACTCTCCCTCAGGCCTTAGGTTATCCTGAGGCTTTTTAGGTGTTTGACGTTCAGCTGGTCTCCATTCTTCGTATTTTGGTTGTTCAAATTCTCCTTCAGGTCTCAAATTATCCTTAGGTTTAGTAGGCTTACGTTTTTCAGCCGGCCTCCACTCATCATGTTTCGGGGTTTCAAACTCACCTTCTGGCTTGAGATTATCTTGAGGTTTCTTAGGGGTTTGACGTTCTGCTGGTTGCCACTCATCATGTTTTGGTTTTTCAAATTCTCCTTCTGGCCTCAAGTTATCCTTTGGTTTCCTCACTTCTGGTTTTTCCGCTGGTCTCCAGTCATCGTGCTTAGGTTTCTCAAATTCACCTTCTGGTCTTAGATTATCTTGAGGCTTTTTAGGGGTTTGACGCTCTGCTGGTCTCCATTCTTCATGTTTCGGTTGTTCGAATTCTCCCTCAGGTCTCAAATTATCCTTAGGTTTAGTAGGCTCACGTTTTTCAGCTGGGCGCCATTTGTCATGTTTTGGAGTTTCGAAATCACCTTCTGGTTTGAGATTATCTTGAGGCTTTTTAGGGGTTTGACGCTCGGCTGGTTGCCACTCGTCATGTTTGGGCTTTTCGAATTCTCCTTCTGGTCTTAGATTATCCTTTGGTTTTCTCACTTCTGGTTTTTCCGCTGGCCTCCACTCATCGTGTTTAGGTTTCTCAAATTCACCTTCTGGTTTAAGATTATCTTGGGGTTTCTTAGGTTTTTGACGTTCAGCTGGATGCCATTCGTCGTGTTTAGGCTTCTCAAACTCTCCCTCAGGCCTTAAGTTATCCTGAGGCTTTATAGGGGTTTGACGCTCTGCTGGTTTCCATTCTTCATGTTTCGGTTGTTCGAATTCTCCCTCAGGTCTCAAGTTATCCTTAGGTTTAGAAGGCTCACGTTTTTCAGCTGGCCTCCACTTATCATGCTTCGGGGTTTCAAACTCACCTTCTGGCTTGAGATTATCTTGAGGCTTTTTAGGGGTTAGACGCTCAGCTGGTTGCCATTCGTCATGTTTGGGCTTTTCGAATTCTCCTTCTGGTCTCAGATTATCCTTTGGTTTTCTAACTTCTGGTTTTTCCGCTGGCCTCCACTCATCGTGTTTAGGTTTCTCAAATTCACCTTCTGGTTTAAGATTATCTTGAGGTTTCTTAGGTTTTTGACGTTCAGCTGGATGCCATTCGTCGTGTTTAGGCTTTTCAAACTCTCCCTCAGGCCTTAGGTTATCCTGAGGCTTTTTAGGTGTTTGACGTTCAGCTGGTCTCCATTCTTCGTGTTTCGGTTGTTCGAATTCTCCCTCAGGCCTCAAATTATCCTTAGGTTTAGTAGGCTCACGTTTTTCAGCTGGCCGCCATTTATCATGTTTAGGTGTTTCAAAGTTACCTTCTGGTTTGAGATTATCTTGAGGCTTTTTAGGGGTTTGACGCTCTGCTGGTCTCCATTCTTCATGTTTCGGTTGTTCGAATTCTCCCTCAGGTCTCAAATTATCCTTAGGTTTAGTAGGCTCACGTTTTTCAGCTGGGCGCCATTTGTCATGTTTTGGTGTTTCGAAATCACCTTCTGGTTTGAGATTATCTTGAGGCTTTTTAGGAGTTTGACGCTCAGCTGGTTGCCACTCGTCATGTTTGGGTTTTTCGAATTCTCCCTCTGGTCTCAGATTATCCTTCGGCTTTCTCACTTCTGGTTTTTCTGCTGGCCTCCACTCATCATGCTTAGGTTTTTCAAATTCGCCTTCTGGTCTAAGATTATCTTGAGGCTTCTTAGGTGTTTGTCGTTCGGCTGGCCGCCATTCGTCGTGTTTAGGTTTTTCAAATTCTCCTTCTGGCCTTAAATTATCCTGAGGTTTCCTAGGAGTTTCACGCTCAGCTGGTCTCCATTCTTCATGTTTCGGTTGTTCAAACTCTCCCTCAGGTCTTAAGTTATCTTTAGGTTTAGAAGGTTCACGTTTTTCAGCTGGTCTCCATTTATCATGTTTCGGTGTTTCAAACTCACCTTCTGGCTTGAGATTGTCTTGAGGCTTCTTAGGGGTTTGACGCTCAGCTGGTCTCCATTCTTCATTTTTAGGTTGCTCAAATTCTCCCTCGGGTCTCAAGTTATCCTTGGGTTTAGTAGGCTCACGTTTTTCAGCTGGCCTCCACTTATCATGCTTTGGGGTTTCAAACTCACCTTCTGGCTTGAGATTATCTTGAGGCTTCTTAGGCGTTTGACGCTCAGCTGGCTGCCATTCATCATATTTTGGTTTTTCGAATTCTCCTTCTGGTCTCAAGTTATCCTTGGGCTTAGTAGGCTCACGTTTTTCAGCTGGCCTCCACTTATCATGCTTCGGGGTTTCAAACTCACCTTCTGGCTTGAGATTATCCTGAGGCTTCTTAGGCGTTTGACGCTCAGCTGGCTGCCATTCATCATATTTTGGTTTTTCGAATTCTCCTTCTGGTCTCAAGTTATCCTTGGGTTTAGTAGGCTCACGTTTTTCAGCTGGCCTCCACTTATCATGCTTCGGGGTTTCAAACTCACCTTCTGGCTTGAGATTATCTTGAGGCTTTTTAGGAGTTTGACGCTCAGCTGGCTGCCATTCATCATATTTTGGTTTTTCGAATTCTCCTTCAGGTCTTAAGTTGTCTTTCGGTTTTCTTACTTCTGGCTTTTCTGCTGGCCGCCATTCATCTCGTTTAGGTGTCTCAAACTCACCCTCGGGTCTGAGATTATCTTGTGGTTTTTTCGGCGTCTGGCGTTCTGCTGGTTTCCATTCATCTTGTTTAGGTTTTTCAAACTCTCCCTCAGGTTTTAAATTGTCAACAGGCTTCTTTTGTTTTGGTTTTTCTGACAGTTTTGGCCCATAATCGTCGTGTGATACCGTATGGCTTTCGAAGTTACCCTCTTGAATATGTAAGTTATCTCTTCTGATTATTTGTTGTTGTCTTACATCTGTCTCTTCAAAAGTTCTATATTCTTCTTGAGATGTAGTAATTTTTTGTAGATCTTCCGTAGAATAAAACTTTTCGAAATCTTCCTTTGTCCAAGTGCGACGCCTTTGAGGACGTTCCACAGGTACAACTTTTTGCGTAAAATCTTCCTGGTTTGACGTTATATATTCAACTTCACCTTCTCTAATTATGTTATCAGTCCTTCGCGCGACCATTGTTGTTCTTTCAACAATATCAGTATAATCAACAAACTCCATTTTACTAGTGGTTTCAGTAGTCATTTCACCTTCTAACTTTGTCCATGTATTACGGCGTACTGGTTGAGGTCTCTCAACAGGTTTCGTTGTATATTCTGATCGGGTAGTTGTTGTATCTGTAAATAATATTATTATTAGCAAAAATAATGAAAAAATATTTTGATATATTTCTTCTATACCAACAATGAAGGCTAATTGATCTAAGTGACATTTATTTTTCGATTTGAATAAATATATATGAAATTTGAATATAAAATTTGGATTCAGTATTTGTTGCCGATTCTATGTTAACGTAAAAAAATGAATGACGACTAATTTTTGTTTGTTTGTCCGTCAGGTGGATTATTGAAGAATATTATTAAGTATTTTTTTTTTGCGTAATCAATAAATACATTGAGTTAAAATGTCATATGACATCACGCTTTTGTACATTTTCTACAAAACTGTGACACAGCCAATGCCTATTATCTTCTAAGAAATGGCTTTTATTATGTAATTGGAAGTATTTTATGCTTCCAATTAAATAATAAAAGCCAAAAGTCACACGTATTACGTAAATTAATATATATATAAAATTATACGTAATTTTTCTAATAACTAACTGAGACGGACTAAATAGAAATTTATTTTTTTACCCATCGTTATCGTTATTCTAAAAACATAAAATATAGCGGATATTATTATCTATCTCGCAAGATTATACCTACAATTTAACGCATCATCCATCCATTCATCCATTATAATCCATCGAAATCAAATCATCAGACCGTGAATAGCATGTAACGAAACCAACCTCGCGCTCTGAGGCTCTGATAGAATGAACGTCATGTGCTCCATGACGCCATATTTGGAAGTCAAATCGTCATCGAACCGAATGCAAACAGTGATTTTGTTATTATAAATCATTTTCTTTTAAATAACTTAAAATTTTATGCGAAATTCTTGTTAAGTAAAATGAATTTATGAACAACCAAAGAAGAGCAGACAACAAAAAGTATGAAGGCGAGATTCGTACGAAACCAATTTTCTTCTTTTTAAACCAATTTAATTCTAAGGCCAAACAAAAATTATTTTATGAAATTATATATAATCGATTCCTTGATAAAAACTGTCTCGATAGAAAAAAATCGCAAAGATGATTAATAAATTTAAGTCGTAAAGGTTTTTAGATTGATTTTACGACTAGAGGTACAAAAGCGCCTTAAAGTCTTTACGCCAAACATGAAACGCAAGATCGACCAATCAGGAATAGTATCACGCGCTATATATTGTAATCTGACGTTTTCACTTCGATTGATTATAAAAGTAATGCGTGAAAGTGTAAGCAGTAATCGAATATTTATTTCGATATTCTATCAAATTTACATTCATACTGATAAATATTTTTAATAAAAAATGCTTAATTAATCCAGTAGCCCCTGGAACCTTCACCTCTTTTATGCATTTTTCAAAAAAATATATTAATTAGAACATCATCTTAATCAAAAATTCGTCAGTCCTGTTCGATGCCGAGTAGCTCAATTATTAGAGCAGTCGCCAGGATGGCGACTGCGTGGGTTCGAGTCCCATTTCGAGGTACCTGGAGCTGATGAACTTTTAAAGCATTTGTCGTTAAAAATATTTACTATTTATTATGTTTACTGATTTTAGAGTGATACATACATATATAACTTAATATCGCCAAAGACATTACTTAGATTCATTAGACTTTTAATCGTTGGCATATATTTTACATACTCTACATTTGAACTTACCTGTAAATTTGCCTTCAGTGATTATATTATCTTGATGCCGAATTATTTCTGTTCTTTCTGCAGGAATGAATTCATCTGGCTGTCTTTTGACAAAATCGCCTTCGGGTTTTAAGTTATCGGTAGGTTTCTTTTGTATAGGTCTTTCAGCAGGCTTCCATTCTTGTTTTTCAGGAGTCGTAAACTCTCCTTCCGGCTTAAGGTTGTCTTCGGGTCGTCGCACTGGTTCACGTTCACCAGGTTGCCATTTTTCTGGTTTTCTTGTTTCAAAGTCTCCTTCAGGCTTCAAATTGTCTTGAGGTTTCTTTTGTTTAGGGCGTTCTGCAGGTTTCCATGGTTCTTTTTCTGGTGTCGTAAATTCACCCTCTGGTTTAAGGTTATCGTCAGGTCTTCGAACGGGCGCTCGTTCACCAGGACGCCATTCTTCTGGACGACGTTTTTCAAAATCACCTTCCGGTTTTAAATTATCTTCTGGTTTTTTAGGCTTTTGACGTTCAGCTGGACGCCAGGGCTCTTTTTCTGGTGTAGAGAAATCTCCTTCCGGTCGTAAGTTGTCATTAGGACGCCGTACAGGTTCCCTGTCACCAGGGCGCCACTCTTCAGGTCTACGTTTTTCAAAGTCTCCTTCAGGCTTTAGATTATCCTCGGGACGCTTTACTGGTGCTCTATCACCTGGACGCCATTCTTCAGTTCTTCTTTTCTCAAAATCACCTTCAGGCTTCAGATTATCTTCTGGCTTTTTGGGTTGTTGTCGATCTGCTGGTCGCCAAGGTTCTTTTTCTGGTGTAGAAAATTCTCCTTCTGGTCGTAAATTATCATGAGGTCGCCGCACAGGTTCCCTATCACCAGGTCGCCATTCCTCGGGCCTTCGTTTTTCAAAGTCTCCTTCAGGCTTAAGATTATCCTCAGGACGACGGACGGTAGCTCTTTCGCCAGGTCTCCAGTTTTCAGGTTGACGTTTTTCAAAGTCCCCTTCGGGCCTAAGATTATCTTCAGGTTTACGAACTGGAGCTCTATCCCCAGGATGCCATTCTTCGGGTCTACGTTTTTCAAACTCACCCTCTGGTTTTAAATTATCTTCTGGTTTTTTAGGCTTTTGGCGTTCAGCTGGACGCCAAGGTTCTTTTTCTGGTGTAGCGAACTCTCCTTCCGGTCGTAAGTTGTCATTAGGACGGCGTACAGGTTCCCTATCTCCAGGACGCCACTCTTCAGGTCTACGTTTTTCAAAATCACCTTCAGGCTTAAGATTATCTTGGGGTCGCTTAACTGGAGCCCTTTCACCTGGACGCCATTCCTCAGGTCTACGTTTTTCAAAGTCTCCTTCAGGATATAAGTTATCTTCTGGACGACGAACAGGAGCTCTCTCGCCAGGTCTCCAATCTTCAGGACGACGTTTTTCAAAATCACCTTCGGGCCTAAGATTATCCTCAGGTCTACGAACTGGTGCTCTGTCCCCAGGTTGCCATTCTTCTGGCTGGCGTTTCTCAAAGTCTCCTTCAGGTTTCAAATTGTCACTGGGCTTCTTAGGCTTTTGTCTTTCTGCAGGCCTCCATGGTTCCTTTTCCGGCGTAGTAAATTCTCCTTCTGGTTTCAAATTATCATCCGGTTTACGTACGGGAGCTCTATCTCCGGGCTGCCATTCATCAGGTTTACGCTTCTCGAAGTCACCTTCAGGTTTTAAGTTGTCCTCAGGACGTCTTACAGGTGCTCTGTCACCTGGACGCCATTCTTCTGGACGTCTCTTTTCGAAATCACCCTCAGGTTTAAGGTTATCTTCTGGTCTCTTCACTGGAGCCCTTTCACCTGGATGCCATTCGTCTGGCCGTCTTTTCTCAAATTCACCTTCTGGTTTGAGATTATCTTCGGGCTTCCTTTGTTTAGGTCTCTCAGCCGGCTGCCACTTTGGGCGTTCCGGTTCCTGGAAGTCGCCCTCCAGATGAAGGTGATCCTCATGATGTACCGCGGTGGTGCGAGTGACGTGTTTCTCGTCGTAGTCCTGTTTGTATGCGGAGACCACGCTTGTCGTGTGCTCCACATCGAACAATGGCTCCGGGACATCGTTGTGTGGGCAACGGTGACGCCTGCAAAAAACGATAAAGATAATTTAATATAAATACATAATTAGTAGCTCGGTGACGTATTGGATAAGTGCTAAGCAACTTTTACAGGGGCCAGTCACGGGTTGGGTGACCAAATATTATTATCTCGAGGTACTTCATGCTTCGGAAGGTACGCTAATCCGTTGGTATCGGCTGCAATTGCATCCGTTAATATACTACGGCCCGCGTTTGCCAGCGTCGAGGGTTATGTCCCATCCTCGTTTAACCTTCCATAAGGAAGAGCCCCTACTCGTAAAAGGGGACGTAAAAGGGCTAATGATGATGATGATTTAATCACTAAAACTTAACTTCATTTCTAATAATTATGAAGAATTAGAGAATGGCTCGAATGGTGTCGCCATCTCTGGAGACCCGGGATCGATTCTCAGTCGGGTCAATGTAGAAAATGAACTTTTATACATTGCCTCGGGTCTGCGTGTTACCGTACTTTCATTAACTCGGATTACCAGAACACAAGTGCTACTTAATTTGGGATCTGAGCAATGTGTGTGATATTCTCTAAAATTTTTTTATTATGAGAAAAAGAAATAAGGCAAAGAAAAAAGTATGTCAAAATTCATTCTAATTCTAAGTTCAGAACTGTATAACACAAGCTCACACCTTTTGACACGATATGGATGTAAATATATTGGGAATCTTCTCGGCACAGGCAGCGGAGGTAGCGTTAGAGATCCAGCCATCGCACGCATCCATCGTGACAACTACACCTTCCTAACTTTCATAATGATAATGATACAAGTGACTGAACGCACCCCACTCCTGAAAACTTCACAACTACGACAAGCCACACTCGTAAACCGTTCGCGTTTCTTGAAAGGTTGTATTTATTTCATTGTAATTCGAAATCAGTTTGACCTAGTAAGGGTTGTGATCGCGCAGAGCTCGCGGAGCGTACTGCCGTATAGAACTACTAGGAGCTCGGCTTAACTTGCACTGAATTATCTATCTGAATATTAAATTTTACATCGTAAAGGTCTTTTTTGTACTACAACGCCATGACAAGTTAATTGTTCCACTAAAAAAACTCATATACTTAAACATTTTGTTGCTTCCCATATTTTTATTTTTTATTTAGGTAATAGCAGTCTATAGAATAATTTTTATGCACCTCCACAGTCCAAAATAATTACTAACTCACTTTCTAGTTCATTAATAAAAATCTATCACGATTTTGTTATTAAACATATAATAAGTAGTGAAAACTGAGACAATGACCGCGTGACCTATTGTGGTTGCCTTGGTAACGCCCATCGAACATTTCAGCGTTTCAGTAAAATGTAGACAAAAGAATAACAACTATATAACAGTTAGATAGACTTGTAATCCAACATTAGGTAATAAGCGAGGTAATTACTTTTACAAAAAATAGAACCGACTTGAACTTTAAAAAGGTGAGAAAACAGCACACAAAAAACACACCTCCTTTTTTGAAGACAGTTAAAAAGAAGAAAAAATTGTGTAATAAGCGAAACAATGTTTTTTCTCTTATTTCTATACCAATATTTTAGAGGAAAATTTTGATAGTTTCCAATGAATAGGCTACGACAGCCCTGGACCAATGTTAAAAACTTTCACGTACGGAAAGCTGCCTAAGCTATAAGGTATGCTGGTTAAGTTTCAGGAAAACTCTTAATGAATATGTGTTTAATTGATACAAAGTTTTTAATTTCTTGACGTTTCATTACTTAAAACATTATTTCCATCGTAATTTATAATTATTTGACAAACGACAAACGCGTACAAATTGTAAGTGACTTGCTAACGTCGATGAGAATATGTTTAAATTTAGATGTTGAATCATGACTACATCACTTGCAGCAGGAGTAAATCAAAAGGAATGCAAAATTAATTTAAGACAGGAAGCAAGGGCATATACGGACGCTTATATATCCAAAAATATCGCGAAAATGGCGCAATATGGTGCAGTCAAAAGTAGGACCTATGTTTATTACCAAAAAAAAATAAGTCATTATACATTTTTATGATTTTAATTAATCATTACCAGCTATTAATACTCCACTGCTGGGGCTCCGCCATTCCCTATAGCAGATAAAAGGACAGAATCGCATATGTAGAGGTAGCCGAGCATCACCCATCACGGAATGCAATGCACGCATGCAACCGGTACTAACGGCTTCATGTGCCTTCCAAAGCAAAAAATAAATGTTTTGTTTGGCCGATCTATTTTTTATTAATACAAGACTTTTACTTTTCTATTCTAAATTTAAAAATACAAATTTCAAGTGCATAAATCTGACGACGGGCTAAACCAATTTTGCATTAGGTTACAACCCTATTTCTGCATCTTGTAACCCGATGTAGCGTTTAAACCAAATATAGTAATGCGTCAATGAGTTGATAGCGTTGTTAACAACTTTCTATAAGAAGAGCCTTGTCCCCGATACATAGATGTATCTCCCACCAAGTACGCAGTATGCACTTAAAACAAATATTTAATTATAAATATATAAGGAAGTTTATCGGTTTTTGTTAACACAGGTTAAGTGACCAAAATGTAATGATTTGAGCTTCTCTGTACTTCGAAAAGCGCCATAAGCCGTTTCTAATGGATTTTCAGTGGAATAATAAGTATGGACTACTACGTCATACGGGGGTGACGTAGGCTTATAATTCACGTTAAAATAACTAATAGGACAAAATCAACAAACAGACAATTTTGAATAGAGATCCGAAGTTTTTGGAATTAAAGCATCGAAATATTAAGGTTTTCAATCAATTGAATTTGATTTTAAAAATGTCAAATATAACCTTAGTCACCTAGCGATTAGCGGCGAACATAAAAAGCTTTCTCTGTAAACCACGGGGTGAATGTGATCGATATCTGTGGGTAATATAGACAAGTATAGATTAACCAACGGTGACGTAATTTAAGTAACATTTGTTGGATTTCGTAAAGCTCGTGCTTCCAGTTAGTTAAGATTACATTAAAAATCTAGTTCGGATGAAACTCTTTTTAAATAATATGAGCTTATATTAAAAATGCGGCAAACACATTATTGGGTTAAATTCGAAAAAAAACTTTTTATAAAAAAAAACTAATTACCTTAATACCATATCTTAATTCCTTATTTATTTAAATAGTTATCAGATTTTTTTATTTAACAGGAAAATATATTTAACATCAACACTTTTTCACGAACAACTTAAAACTGAGCTTACGTTACTGTGCTACACAGCACATCAGCGTATTGAAAACTGTAAATTTTCACCAATGGACTCTAGTCCTCAGTATGTTGTTAGTAGAGTTCAGAATTAATTGCGAAAATTTCAAGTATTGTGGTACCCTGACATGTTCCTGTGTAAGTACCTAGATAGTATGCAATTTGTTGTTTATCAGATAACAGGTTTAGTTAACAATACCCAAAGATAATCGTATTCACGTAATATCCATACAATACATGTCAAAGAAGGTTTTTTCATTGTATAAGTTCTAGTACGATTTGAGATTGTTTAAATACGTTGATCAGTTTTGAACTGCGGTTTCATCGCATTTGGTTATAGCTAAAGTAATGGTAGAAACAATTTATGACGTCATCGCAATATATCGTACTGCTATGTAAGCTTATTACTTTCAAATGTAATGTAATTATTTGTAAGAAAATCACAAACTTGCCCCAAACTTGCCCAACAAGAAATGGAAAAAATGTGAATATAAACATTTTTCTATTTCTTGTTGTAATTAAACCGCACTGATTTACTTCTGCAATGTAAGATCTCTATAACCGATTTGTAGCCCCAATAGCTGCGTTACAAATCCATTTAAAGCCATCGATTACTAATAACATTTTACACTAATGTTTCTGAGAAGACACTGACATGTCGCTACCAACGCCGTTTACATCTTAAGAACATTGTAAGAAATATACTTAATTTAATATAACTGAAACTAGGTTACTAGGAACTGACAAAATTATAAATCGATTTGATACCTTTTGACAGATTAATTAGTAGTTTAGATACGCACGTAAGCAAACGTAATGAAATATTTAGATAGGTACATATAAATTAAACGACGCGTGTGAAAGAATTTTAGTGTGACCCACTTGAGAATATACCCTTTTTAAAAAATTTTAGTTTAATTTACTTATTTTTTTTTTTACAAGATTGCTTCTTGTTCCTCATATGAACACAAAGATGTTTCGCTAGCGAAACTGGAGAAGAAGCTATTGGATACTGCTTTCATAAATGGAAATTTGAATGTAAAATTTAGTTACATCACCATAACGCCCTATACCAAAGTCAAAGCCGAAATTATTTTTAATCAAAATAAACTTACTAAAAGTAATTTTGAATTGTCAAATATTTTTTTACATACGGTTATGTTCAAAACGTCTTTTGGCTTACAAGAACAAGCGAAAGAAACTCAGTAGCTCTAACACAAGTAACGACATTTGCCATTAGCAAATCAATATTAACAATATAGATTAATTAATATGTGTAACAAATACCGACTGAATGTTTAGAACATTTATTTATAGTCCCTATTCAATAATAAGACTGTTTGCACAATCGGGCTTGATTGTCGTCTGTTCACATAATAATCTACACACTGGGTGCGATGCAACATCTGCGTCTGAGTCAGCACCAGCTCGGATCACTGCGGTGCCACTCGCTTTCTATATTGGGACGGTTACTCAACATTTTCGAGAATCAGAGGACACTACAAAATAAGACAAAGATAAAACGTAACGAAATGACACAGAGGATGAGTTTATACACAAAATAAATAGTCAAATATTAAAAATAATATTCACTAAATTATAACAATTATTGCACTTAAAATATATTTCTTCAACCCACAGCTACAAAGTGAATCCCGTCTTTGGAAGAACCTCGCATACTTTATTACGACTTATGTATACACGGCTACACGTCAGGTTACTATAATATGTCAAATTTACCCAGTTGATTTTAGACTCTACGTCCAAAACATTAAGGTT